ACAAGCTGCGTTAATACAAAAATGCGAGATGACCTTAGCAGTCATTTGCTTGATTAGCTGCAAGCACTAGATTTGGAATCTGCCTGTGACCAATTAATTTCTATAAGATTGAAGTCTCCACCAATAAACAAGTTAACAGTGTTTACTGTTTGAATCGCGTTGGTAAGTTCTTCAGGAATACTCATCTTATTCCCTAGCGAACGATAGAAAAACATACAGATACTGATCGACCAATTTCCAACCTAGTCTCTACCCATAACATTTCACTTCCATTGCACTCATTATAAATCTTCTTGGAAGATCTACTAGGTTCAACATTCCCTCTTCGAAACCATTTCAATTCTTGCGATAGCATATATATTTTCTTGGAAACACTTCTTTATCAGCAATATCTGCCTCAAGCTAGGATTCTGATTCAATAATGACAGTCGGATTAGTCATGTCAAAAAGAATAAAAAAACGTCACTTTTATTGCGTAATCTTCTGCAATTCACAAAAAGAATAAAAAAATAGCCGGCTCATTCATTCATGCATCCTGTCAATCCACCCACACAACCTGATCCAGGGCATCATCGTAGGCATACTTCACCTTATTATTAGAAAGAGTAGTGAACTTAAGATTTATTGTGTCAGTTTTTTGCCTCGAGTCTCCTTAGCCTGATCCCAAAACTGTGTGCGATGTGTTCTATCTATGAAAACGTTCTTGCAGTGTTGTTTCGGCTCACGAATTTTCGTTATCCCCTTCTCAACCGTTTCGTATAATTCATGCTATTGGTCGTCAGACACATCATAAAATATTAGGTTGCACTTCCTACCGCGGTTTTCAAGGTCATCAACGTTATGAGCAAGCGACCTTATTTGAGTGTGCTGCTGTTTGCATGCCTCTTTGAATCCCCTTGCCACGTCGACGTCGTGGAAACCTTCCCGTTTAGACGGTGCTATTTCCAACCTACTCATACGTTCGTTCAGGCTCGTAATACCAGACTTGCTTCCAGCTTAGTATTTTTCAATGTCTTTCCTTATTATTTTTTTGCCGTTTGAGATGGCCATTTTGAGAAGGGCGTCTGGCGTTAGTTTCAACATTCCCGTATATCAGCAGCAATAAGAATTAAAATTCAAAAAGGTGTTATAGGTTTAACCGATAGCGTCTACAATGTATGGGTCGCGAGTGACAAGTATGGGCTCCTACCCTATAGAAAAGCACGAGCGCTGGCACTGGCAGGATAAAAAAGTGACCAGTACTGCATGCGACGTCGAGACTAACCTGCACAAGTAAAACAATCCACGTTAGCGATGCAGTCGAACCGGTGCCACGCCACAGAAAACCACTGAGATGCCGTGGCACAAGTAGGCTGTAGCTTTGCATACTGACGTTCCACGGTTCACTGACTAGTATCGGGCATTGTCCAGAAAAAGTGGTGATAATCCATGGGTCACAAATGTCGTTGCCTTCTTCGATGTCGTCCAAGAAAAAGTAGGTGAATGAAAAACTGTCGACCGAAGATGCAGCTTTCGAAGATTCATCCTGTCCACTTGAAAAGCAATGACAGCAAACTGGAGTGACGAGCAGCTGTACAAGCAAAACTATCCACGTGAGCGACTGACGCAGTAGTAGTCGAACTGTTGCTACGCCCCCTGTTTGGCTGTAAAGTGAACGAAAAGATATCGGATTCGCTAATGCAGTGTGTTTTGTCATGGGTAAGTTAGATCTTCGGTAACTTGTAACTTAGTTCACAAATACAGTAGTATTGTGCCTACTACCCATTATTTTCTAGTTTGCCTCTAAGCTGCTCTAGTCTTTAGCTCGGCTATTCTTAATAATTTTTAAGTTTTCGCTGGGTTTTAGCTTGGTGGTGCTAAGTTTTTTTCTGACTAGCTGCTACCATTTCATCTACGTTGTTTTAGAAGTTGATTTCGCTTTAATGCATTGTTTTAGCTAGTTGTTGATAGGTTGTTCCTAGCCAGTACTGTGCAGAACCAGACACATGTATCTTGAATATTGTTTGAATGCTCAGTCAGTCAGTCAGTCAATGAACTTTATTTACAAATTGTCCTGAGGAGCCGATTCCCCTCAAGAGGGAGGGTCGGCTGCGGGCCGCACCCACGTGGGGACAGGAAGAGCGAGCCCCTCCGCCAAATTGCGGGCCCTCTGGACAGCCCGGATTTGGACCTCTCGGTCCGAGCTGGTAATTGCCGTCCTCCAGGCAGCTTCTGTGCTGAGAGGCTCGCCATCGCGCAGCGCCGCGCATTGCCAGAGCATGTGGGGTAACGTGCAACGTCTCTCTTCGCAATGAGGGCATTGCGGCTTTATGCTGTCGATAAACTTGCTGTACACTAAAGGCGACGGGTAAGTACCCGTTTGCAGCATTCTTAAAGTGACTGACTGGGCCCTAGAGAGTTGCGGGTGCGGGAGCGGAAAGCTACGCCTGGCCAATTGATAATTTTTGCAAATTTCGTTAAAGGTGAGGAGCGAATCAAGCTGCCGGATGCCATCCCCAAAATTAGATGCCGATTGCCCATCACGGTGGGACAGTTCGCGTGCTCGGGCATGGGCAAGCTCATTGGCATTGGGGATAACAGGGTGGACATCCTTGCCCATGTGGGCAGGAAACCAGGTGATGTGGCCGTCGATTTCCGTGCAATGTGGTCTTTTGGTAAGAAGATGGGCCGCCTGCTCACAGACTGACCCGGTCATGAACGCTCGTGCAGCAGCTCGAGAATCAGTGAAAATGCGCGTGCGCATAGGAATCGCCACGGCCATTGCTATAGCAGCCTGCTCTGCCCTAGCCGGCGTGGTATCTCGAAGAGATGCTGCTGTGAGGATTTTACCGTGAAGGTCAGTGACCACAGCCACGAAATTGGATGTGCCGGGATACTGTGCTGCGTCAACGAACGCCACAAGTTCAGGGGTGGCAGCGGCGGAACTGAGGAGCGACCTAGTCCTAGCGGCCCGGCGGCCGACATTGTAGAGAGGGTGAACATTTCTAGAAATTGGTGAGACCGTTATCTGCTCCCTCAATTTGGGTGGAAGCTGTATCTTTTTGTCTGCTACCATAGTTGGTTCGCAGCCCAGAAACTCCAGGATGCGTCTCCCAGCTTTGGAAGAGGACAGTCGTGCAGCTTGTGCTGTTTGTTGCGCTTCTGCAATCTCACTAAATGTATTATGCATACCAAGAGCCTTGAGCTTTTCCTCATTTGTGTTGTTTGGAAGGCCCAAGACCCTCTTAATGCACTTTCGAAT